CTGTGTGGAGTTTGCATGCTCTCCCTGTGCTCTGTGTGGAGTTTGCATGCTCTCCCTGTGCTCTGTGTGGAGTTTGCATGCTCTCCCTGTGCTCTGTGTGGAGTTTGCATGCTCTCCCTGTGCTCTGTGTGGAGTTTGCATGCTGTCCCTGTGCTCTGTGTGTGAAGTTTGCATACTCTCCCTGTGCTACAAACAGCTGCAAGCTTCTATTTGGGATCAGAGCTTCAGCAATTCAGTAACAACATAATGTTCCAGAAGGAAAGTGTGTGCGTTTGTTGATGTTTCACTCTCAGCCCCAGGAAGGGGTAAGGCGTCACTGCAGCTCCACTCACTGCCGGATATGCAGGCCCTCATGCGGGCCACATGTGCAGTCACTACGGGAAGAACCGTCATTTGCAGTCGTATTTGATATTCTTATGTTTAGGCAGAGCTCTGCCACAGAGCTGGATTCAGCTGACTTTTCTCATTGCCATGGCAACCGATAGTGAGCGCTATGCCTATGGATTTCTCACTTAATGAGTTGGATGATTACCTTCTAAGTATAAATAGGGCCAGCTGGGGAGATTGAGGATGGCTACGGAGTTGGGGCCATGGTCCCCTAACCTACTGTGTATCTTTCATTGAGAGCCATTTTTAGTGCTTTTACCTTTTTATATACCTTTTGGATTTTCTTGGTACAGTTCTTTCTTTGTTTAGGTGCCACTGTCCTTCTGCCCCGTCCACCTCAGAAGATGCCAGACCAACACTCATACATGCATATAGGTTTGGTGGCGAGTTGTATGTACTTCTGTCTTTACACCGATTTCTCACCCATGTCGCATTCGCATGCATTTACGTTACAGCTCAGGGCAGACAGTTCACTGTACCCATGGCCGGCGTCATTATCTCGGTGCACAATGGCTAACAAAAGGCTCACAATGTGATTTTGTAACTGGCACAGGTGATAAGCTCTCTGCTAATCGCTTCAAAGAGCTAATGAAGGGAATAAACAGTGACAAAGAAGCGCTGATATAAAAGTCTGGGAACAATGTCTAAAATGCTCCACTGCAAGGACACAAACGCTTATTCGTTTGCTTGGCAGATATTCATCGTCAGTGATTTCATCTACACTTAACAAATAGAAGCACATTGAATAGTTGCAGCGATTGTTAGAAAATGTGTGTTATTTAGCATAATGGGCCGAGAGAAATCTGAACGGCAATATCTGAGGTGTCTCAATGTCTGTCGTCTGAAGGCTGCATATTGTATGTATGATGCCTTTGTCACCCACAATTCCATGTCTCCTGTACCTATGGGCCACACTTCCGCTTCATCACTCCTTCTGCACTATCCCCTAAATTCCAGGCATTACGATCACCAACTCAGAAGTGACATTTCAGCTCTCGAGAGCAGTAAACGCTCCCATCTCCAGCCACCGGAGTCACACCTACAATCTGTTGAACTGTATATGAGCCAAAAATAATACTAAGCTAAGATTGTGTTGCTCTTTAAGGAGGACTTGTGGCAAAGACAAGTAGAGCACAGTCTATGGAGGAACTCGGAAATGTTTGATACAGCAGAAGGCTGCAAAAAAACAAAGTAAAATAGCATAAGCTGGTCCCCACCCTAGGAGCAGAAGCGCAAAGCCCCTCCCAGTCAGGCTGGTCATAACCTGTCAAGAGCCAGCAGGGCATCATTAGCAGCTGGAAAGGGCGGCAATTTAAAAAGTCGACTTTATGAACGTCCAGAAGTCTGGCTCTGTACCTTCCACTGCTCACTGGTCCCTAAGTCAGACTGGAAATGCCAAAACATGCCAAAAAATCTGTTTGTTTATTTGGATTGTGAACTGTTTTTTGGTTTATTTTTTAAACCACAGACAGCTTTGTGTATATAATGATCTGTGTCCATGTTCCATTATAGATGTCTTTGCACTTTATTAATGGAAACTGTTTATGCATTTATAATTATGAAATCTTCAAGTCTTAATTAAGATCGTCACTCATCTACTGCAGAAGAAATTGGCTATTGTTAATTACACAGGCTTCAGCCGTCCTAGAATAAAAACGAATGAATGGATTAAAAACATGTCATTACATGATTTTCACTCTAATAAATAATGTCATACTTACCTCAACTGGTGTACCTTTATAATCAAATATTTTACTCTAATTTGAACCAGTGTGCCATGCAACATATTTTTCTAGTTATATTTATTAGGCATGAGTAAAATGTTTTGAAGTTTTCTTTTATAACACTGATGGGAATTAAATAACGTAACAAAAACAAACGTAAAAAGATGTACTGTATCCAAGCTAAGCTCAGTACAGAATATTAGTCGTATGAAGTGTAATGGTGAGGAACAGAGGATGGTCACAGCTGTTTTTGCATAGCACAAAACAAGGTTTATACAAAAGTTAAACATCTACTGTCCAGAATGCATACATATTCATAAACAATCTTTATTATTTCATGTGAACATGTATCTTTAAAGCATGATAGTAATTGTCCATACAATAGAATCAAAACTATAGTTTTCTATACATTTCTATTGATACACCCTGTGTTTAATTGGAGCCCAGCTGCACCATAGGCAGAAGCAAACCTGTACCCTTCCAGGACCTTGGGCCAGACCACTAGCTCTAGCTGCGGGGGTGCACAGACTGAAGGCCAATGTTATGCTGCTGGATTTCAGCTAGAACTTATGTTGAACAATCATATCTCAGAACGTCATTAAAATTTAGATTATTAACATTTTGAGCATGGAGCCAAAGTGCCACAGATACTAGCACACATAAGTGTGCATTTGTGTTCAAAAATCCACAAAAAACTCCAAGAGCTGATGACTATAAGTCAGTGTATGGCATCATGTAACTACATGGTCTAATAACCTCATTTGGAAAGCAAATTCAGTAAAGTTTGAGTGCACTTAAAAAAAGGCGTTTTCGATGTGGAAAAGCACCCATACAATGTGTTCTCATCTGCAGTGTTGATTCAATTTGGGCTGAAGATGTTGTTGAAGATGGAGTTGTTGTGTGCAGAACATCGGTCTAACACATTAGGCCAGAATATCTTGTTTTCCATTAACATGCAGCAATGAGATTCTTAGTAGAATCTTAGTAGATTCTTTGAAGATCTTTGTTTGTCGAACGTTGTGTGCATCCTGAGGCAGTTTGGCAGCTATGTGTGGAGAGCTATCAGTGCAGATGAGCAGAGCTGGCAGACCTCCGTCAGGATAAAGTGGAAGTCTCGTTATTCAGGGGAAAGTCGTTCCAAAGGTAACGGGGTAGAAGGCACTGCTTCTCGGGGGTGGGACTCCGTATGCTCAGCCTACAGTACATCACAGCCAGGACTAGCAGCCTTCTGTCTCACCTGGACCCTGCTTCCCAAACTTCAGAACTGCATACAGGTTCCATACAGTACGAGCCAGTATGAAGAGTGTGTGTGTTATAATACTAGCTATGGATCGCATTCCGACATTTAAATATTACAGTTACATTCTTACTTGCCACAACTCTATTTTAAAACATTGCTAGTGTGTACAGAGTCTGTACTACAGACACACAAATATATTGTTTTTAATAGTCTAAATATAATCTTTTCAACCAGTAAAGCTAATAAACGTAAATACATATTTAAATCCCTTGTGCCCTGAAAACCTCTCTGTACAGCAGCTCGATAAAAACGCCACACGCTGACCTTAAGCGAAACCTGTTTCTTAGCTTCATAGTTTTGATGCTTTAAACACTGCACGATTTATTCTTAACATCTTTTTTTCACAGGAACATTTCTTAAATGCAACAAATAAAATCATTCGCTGTTGGAATTCCATTAAAATTTTAAATTCATTTGACAAGACCTTTTCATTGCGGTCACTAACCTACAATTGTAAAAAGTAAAATAAAATTTAAAAAACCTTATTTTCTGACTGAAAAAAACTCAGATCAGCTGCTGTGACCCCAGACCCGGTGACTGGAAAGTGACATCTGCTAGCTATTTATTTATTTTTATTTATTCATTCATTATGAATAGATGCAGAAAATGGCCGTTAAGTTGTACTTTCGCTCCGATAACCCGGGGCAGCAGAGTGAGAGTGGGACTTTGCAGTAGGTGACACTCTGTGCCTTTGATACGCTTCCTTCATGGTTCCCTTCTCAGGCCTCACCCCACAGCTCACACCCTGGATTCAATGCCCCCACGGCCCCCGGTACCCCGTCCTCTGACTGGCATGGCAGAGGAAGGGTGACATTAGTGAGGCTGGAACAGTCCTTGTATGTTGGGCTCCCTGTTCAGGTAGGTGGCCCAGTAGACCAGGTTGAAGGTGCCGAAGAGGAGGGGGAAGGCGATCCGCGACATCCTGTCGATCTTGCTCACGCTGTTAAAGGTCTTCTTGGTTTCGGGGGGTTTGGACTTGGGCTCCTCCTTGGACTCGGTGGGGGGAGGGGGGGCGCTCTTGGCGATGGTGGCCAGCGCCGGATCCCTGGCGATGTTGGGGGCGTAGGCCGTGGCTGTTGCTGTGTACGTGTTGTTTTTCTTGATGAGCGATTCCCTCTTTTTCTTTTGCTGAAACGGGGAAGGTGGATACTTCAGAACACGCCATTGTTACACGAATATCAAGCACAGCCAACACTGAAAAAGTAGGAGCGACATACCTGTAGAGGAATTAGTTAAATACGCTTTATTGTAGACTGCTTAAACTCAGATCTCATTACCTATGGTTAGTTTCTGAATGCTGTAAAACAGGGGGGCCCAACTCCAGTCCTGGGGGGGCGGAGCCCTGTGTAGCTTAGTTCTTTCAATGTTCCACCATAAATGATTCAGCTCAAGAGCTGTGTGGTAATTAGCACAAGGAGTTGAATCAGGTGTGTTAAATGAGGGGAATGTGCAGGGCTCCGGCCCCCCAGGACTGGAGTTGGGCACCCCTGCTGTAAAATGTCCTCAGATTGGACTTGGGGTTGCATGCACCCATTTCTCTTGGTGAAGTGTAATGAATGGAGGTGCATGTTTTCCAGCATGTATGATTTTTTGCGTGCATTTTGTTCAGGGGGGTGGGGGGGAACCTTTTCAGGGACCACGCTTTTGCCGTCCCAGGCGTAGCTCCTCTTGGTGAAGTAGTTGACAGTGGCAAATTCGATGAGGGCGGAGAAGACGAAGGCGTAGCAGACGGCGATGAACCAGTCCATGGCTGTGGCGTAGGCCACCTTGGGGAGGGAATTCCGGGCGCTGATGCTGAGGGTCGTCATCGTCAGCACGGTGGTCACTCCTGTCGGGAGCATGAGAAGGTGAGCTGCCCAAATGGAACACATAGCTATCAGAAATCACCCCCCCCCCCCCCCCGATCAGGATGCCAGCCCATCATGGGGCAAAAGGCAGGGGCCACCCCCACCCACAGAATAATCCTAATAATGCAGTAGAAGTGCTCATATCTGGCATTACTTGAGTAACCGACACGATTCCAAAATATCAGTATAAAAATGGAAAATTCCTAAAAATAAGCAATAATACTATTCTATTAAAATGAACCAAAAATAACAAAGAAAATCATTGTGCAATACGACAGCAACACGTTAGCTATCTTTTTGCTTGATGCGCCGTTGTTAACTTCATGATTCCTGCGTTGTATCAAATATGCGATTTCATCTGGCAGCACAACCGCATGGCATTGGAACACTTTCAAATACGGTGATATGTTTTTTGTGATAATACTGCAATATTATTATGACTCAGAAACAGCATGCGCAGCTCATGCAAGAATAGCGGTAGTATATGTTAGACTCATTTTTACATTTTTCATCATTACAATTGCAAAGCTTGCTAAAATTTGACAGAATATAAATGTTTTAGCAAAACTAAACCCCTCCAAGTGCTCATTGAATTCACCAATTTCTAAATACCAGGATTGTATTGAAAAAGAACATTATGAATATTCCTTATCAATTATGAATACCTTATGAACATTATGAATACACCTTACACCACTGTATGATGCCTGTACACTGTGAAGGTATGTGTGAAGGTATGCAAAAGCCTGATCTCTGCCCAGCTTACTACTGCGGTACTTGTGATGTGAGAATTTCATGTACATAACTTGCGATGTCGATATTAATATCGCACATCGCCAGTGGTGGGCATGGCTCCGCTAACTGCTAAACAGCGAAGCTAACCTTTTCATTAGTGGATTAGCATTTCCGCAAACTTTGAAAACCGTTAGCAGACTAATTAGTTTCTGCTAATTGTTTAGTTTAGTTTAATTATTTAGTTCCACTAACTGTAAATTCGCAAAAAAAATTTGCAGGTAAAGTGAATAAAGATTAACAGTCAAAAATGTTTGTAACCCCTAAAATCATACACATTTGTTCCTGTCTATTGTGAGCGTGTCTGAAACAGTCTATCTGGCATGTTGTTGGCTGAGTATATGTAAACACACGATGTGATTGGCCGATAACTTGTTGGATTTAAGGTAGTCTGGGGTAATTGTTAGTGAATGAAGATAAAATCCATTTAAACTGGGGTACCCTGAACTAAGCAGGGAACTGGGGCCTGTATCATGAAGCTGGGTTTCTTGCTTAGCTGGATAACTTCTTGGATTTAAGGTACCCTAGTTTAAATGTAGGCCTACTTTACTGTGATGTACTTTTCGTTTAGCTGTGCCCACTACTGCACATTACCCAACCATCTGTCAGTGACATTGCAGTGTGTTAAAATAACTGCAATAATCACCAGTGTGTGTATAAAAGGATTAAAGTAAGTTTAAGAATTGTATTACAGTGTTTATGAAGAGTAACATTCATTTGGAATACTCCGATGTTGCCGCTAGAAGGGCATTTATTGTAAAAGTTAGCACCCATGTTGACAATTTTCCTCCATTACAAACGCTACAATCATTTATTTTTTTATATAACTAGTGATGGGGAAAAGCCACAGTAGGAGGAGCGGTGAAAGTCGACAGTTATGCCTGAGTTTAACCCACTTCCTCGTGCACACTGGCTCCATTAAACTCAGCACTGGCTGACAGCCCCCTGCAATCCCACACACTGCAGCTTTCTTACTTGTTAAGTCATACTTCTCCCATCGCTAGTTACACCCACTGCTCCTCTATAAATGAACTACACTAATCAGACCCAGAGAGAAGGACACAGTGCAAATATAAATGACGCCGCTTACTCTGCCGTGTGCAGCCTGACTTTAGCTCCAGTGACGCTCGCTGTATCTGCACGTCTCCGTCTGCGTGGTTTTGCACGCTGCCCTTGGCCACAGTTACCTCTGCCTCCTTGCTGTCACAGAGGAATTCCTAATGCCAGTAATAGTGGCGGCAGTGATTAGGGGGATATTGTGTGAGAGTCGAGCACTCGGCCGGCGAATGCCCACGCCCCTGAAATACCCTAATACGCTCTTAGCTGCCCCCACGCGTAATGAGACACTGCTGGCCGTCCCTTCGCTCGTGGTGACGTTCCTCCAGGGGCCTGAGGCCGAGGCCTCTTGGGTGCCACGTCACCTGGATGTGTCCGCTGAACATCCTCATATCACAACCACATCGCTTCTCTGATCAGATGCAGTGGGGGGGGAGGCAGGTGATGTATCACACAAACTCATCCATAATGTGGTTCTTCCTGACCATGGTATTTCCCCAGGTAAACAGCAAATACAGTTAATTATACTGTATACAAATAAAACTGGCTCCTTTCAATGAAAATTCACTGGATTAACAATGCAGTCCATGACCCATCCTGAGCCACCTCATCACATTTTACTTGTATGTGTTATATATATATATACAGTATATAATCATTTAGAAAAGAAAATTATGCAGTATTAATTCATGGTTTCATATTTTATTGGGATCTAAATGTAACAATATATGAAACCAAAAGTAGCTAATTGAGGTCAGAGATGTAATTAGCTTGGGCAGTTTCAGACCAGGGCCGTCTTTTAAAAACCATTAAGAAGCAGTAATTGGAATCCGCCGCCACCATCTAATTAAAACACCTGTGTCCCAGTTGCCGCCCCTGGATTTCGCGCCGCCTTCCGGCCAAAGACACGGCTGCGCATAGCTCTCCTCTTTTCACGGCCCCCGACACAGTATTGTCTGTTAATGCTGTCATGCCTTGATGTTTCATTCGTTTTTTTTGCACTCTTGTGACACTTGCTTCATTTAGTAAAAATATTGCGAAGATATTGGTTTTATAACAAAAATCATTACTTAATTCCTTTGTTTACAAAAAATATCACATTAGAAACAACCGGAAGTTTTAAAGTGAAACATTAATTTGAAGTACTAATAAACTGAAACCCAAATTATATTTCTAAAACAGCTGTTCCGGGTTAAAAAGTTCATGGACGAGCATCACTGCTTTGTAATCTGTAACATCTTTGCAATAACATCAGTGTTTAGTATCCCTGTGGAAGCATAAGACTACGATTGCAATTAATAGTAAAATGCCAAGAACAGAACTGAAAAATAACAATAATAAAAAAAATGTTTGTGTGGAAGATACGTAAAGACACGTTACACATTCCTGTCAGTGGACTTTTTTATGAAACCAATAAATCTGCAACATTATTACAGAATTAAGCAATTAAGACTTTCTGTTGGTACCATATGCAGCACCACTGTGTGCCGAGTTACAGCAGATGTGAGAATAAAACCCCACTTGACAAAAGCTCATATGGATCCAAACGGCGCATTCTGCACAACGCGCGCGCATTACGATGGAGGACGTTGTGCAGTTGTCAGCGTGGTATGTTGTCCCTCATGAACGTCGTTCTGTGCAGACAGTGGTCCTACAGCACGGCGCGCCAATCTCCTGCTGTACACACTGCATGAAGGATTTCACACTGAGAACGCGAACTGGCAGCATCTTTTATCAAACTCTTAAATGAAATCCAATTTGCTTTAAGTTAATTAAATGTAATTTGTTTTATTGGCCAGCTTGCCACTGTCAGTAATGACCTGTCAGAAGTTCTGCAGTGTGTTTCATTAAGACACGGCAGAGACGCCGGTACATCCCAGTACCCACCATACGCCAGCTAGTCTCAGGCCGTCATCATCAGGGGATGAATTAGAGGAATGATGAATTAGTGCTGTACAAACAATGTAATTGGTCATATTTATAGAAGACTGCGTGAGGTTAAGTCTCATCTGATGACACTTTTTGAAAATTTTATTTGTTGTGAAGGAGGTTCACAAAGGCAATGTGTTTAAACTTCTACCTGATATGAACGCAATTTATATACATGGATATTGTATATTAAAGATCACACATAGGTCTCTCTCTCTCTGTCTCTCTCTCACACACACAGACACACACATGCACATACACATTTACCTAGCTGCCTAAATACATATCTAAATGGGGACCTTCCATTAATTTCTATTTGAAAAGTCCTAATCCCAAGACACCTGAAACCCCCACCCAGCCCAAAACTTTTGTCATTTTTCCTTTTTTGATTACATTCACAGATCTTTATAAAATTCAGGTTACACACACACACACACACACACACACGGACACACACATTAAATTGATGTGCTGGATTCAATCTATAACACTTTGACAGTTTGATAGAGAACAAGGTTTGTCGCTCCCCCAGTGTACTGGATCAGTATCTCTCGATGTCCCGTAGGGATCTGTTAACCTAAACACCACACACATAAATCCTTCAGATCTGCCCTGAGACCAGGTGGTTTGTACAAAGTTTACCTCCGTAAACAATGTGAAGCACAGGAGAACAGATGAACACCATGCTGAGATAACTGTGCAGATTTAACTGCTGGGCTGAAAATCCTGAACAACGTTTACCGATCACCAACTCGGAAACCAACACTGGAATTAGTCACTGGCACCTTCTTTCACCCCACAGTTTCCGAATTCAGGACTGGGCCTCGCTTTTCATGCTAGCTCCACACTACCCCAGTTTATCCCCGAAATTTATGGCCACAGAATATTCCCCCGACGTTCTGCCGGGCAAAGCCAGGAGTCTGTGCCAGGCGGCTGTGCACCTCAATGCCTGCTGATTCAATCAACAGATACATCAAAGAACAGCTACATAGACCTACAACCACACTGTGAACTGAATCAGAGGAGGAACAATGAGCAGCAGCAACGACCTGAGGCTGATATAGAGACTGAGTGATGCTGCACACAGAGCACAACGCAAAGCAGCACAATACGGAACACAATGCAGGTTAATACAGTATAACCTCCTCGTCTCATTTCACAATGACCAGTAAGCATCACTGTACAGTGGCGGAGACTTTTAAATCATGAAAACAACAAGCCCCACTAACACATGTCCATTGTGTAACACTGCTCTGATTTGTTTTCATTTGAAGATTAAATTTAAATTCCATGCGGAATCTGTAACTTCCTTTTTATACTCTACTTATTATGAATTTTTGTACTCTGAACAGTGCATGTTAGGTATCGACTTAATTAGGCAGTGAGGCAACTTCCAGTGAGCCCTGAAAAGCCACTCAGGGGCGAATCTGTCAAGTTTCATCCACATCCAGCTGAACAGCTAGAATCCTCTGCTACCCCCCACCTTTGAAATCTCTTACAGGAGACAAACTTCGTGTTTTTTTTTTTTTTTACTATTTCCATAAAACTGCATTACCAGCTATACAGTGCGATTTACTCCCTGTCATTTTGCTTTGTGTTACCTCAGCGCATCCTGTTTCAACGTTTCGCTTAGATACTTATTGCCCAGCATATTTGCCGCCGTATTAAAATGTTTCATTCTGTCAGGTATATTGAGTCTTACTGAATTCTGGGCTGTTAAACATTATGATCAGTACTTGGGATTACAAAAATTGGATTGGAAGAATTGACAAAAAAATGGCAACGTCATGGATGGTAATTGTCTGTAAATTAGCATTCTACATTCTAGCTGTATTTGCTGAAGATCGGTTAGATAAATTACCTATGAGCAGCTCAATATGAGAAGATGAATGTTAAAGCCACTACAGGGATGAGTGTTATTGAGCCTCATTTTGGAAAAAAAAAGGTCTCTTTTTTCCTTAGGGAATTGATATTTAATTCATATACAAAGAGGTGCACTCACCGAACACAGTCCTGGCGGGGACAGATTCTCTGTTAAGCCAGAACGACACCTGGGACAGGATCACTGTCATTATGCAGGGCAGGTAGGTCTGGATGACAAAATAACCAATCTTCCTCTTCAAGTGAAAGTGTGTCGTCATGACAACGTATTCTCCTATGAGGGGCCAGGAGATGAGAAGGCGTTTTGGTGAACAAAACAGACAAGGCAACAGGAGATAACACATATGTATTTTATCCAACTTTAGATTAACGTGTACTCTATCCTGTGTGCGTATAACTGTTGTCATGACAACGATTGCCTTAGCTGCGCAGACCGATCTAATCCCAGAGGCACGCCCTTTCATAAGGGTTCATACATATTCCTAATACATCTTTCACATGTTAAATCATTTTGAATATTACCGAACACAACAAAATTTTATACGGAGTATGATTCCTATACTACTCTTTAGTAACGTATGTGCATTTTAACACTTAAACTTAAGTAACCTAAGCAAGTCACATCATTTAAATAGACAAGTAATCGTAATTGTGTTATCGGCAGTTTAAACAGCGTGACTCACATTTATGATAATACAGAAACTGACCACCGCAAAGGTCAAATGCACACCAGTAAAGCAGAATTCTGACATATTTAGGAACAGACTGTAAAGTATCAGGTCAGAACTGCTAGGAGACATGCTGTTTGTGTTCTGGTGGAGCTCATAGGTTAGGTTCCATCCAGTCAGCCCTGCAGCCAGTCACCTACAGTATTTCCAAAATCCAGAGGGGGACTCACTCAGCGAGGGACACTCACCCGAGGGGGGACACTCACTCAGGGGGGACACTCACCCGAGGGGGGACACTCACTCAGG